CAGAGGACCAACCAGATGATATGCTATACTCCAGAGGTTGCACCTCAGTTAAGATAACTCCCAAACAGGGGCAGCTGGGTGGCACAGTGGATAGAGCACCGTCCCTGAATTCAGGAGGACCTGAGTTCAAATGCGGCCTCAGATACATAACACTTACTAGCTATGTGACCCTGGGCGAGTCACTTAACACCATTGCCTAACCAAAAAAAAACAAAACACACACAAAAAAAACCCAAAACAAAGCAAGATAACTCCCAAACCTACCTCCCTAGTGTAGACTTCTCTGTGCTATATTCCTGTATTTCTAGCTGTCTGCTGTATGTATCCACCTGGCTGTCTACTCAACATCTCAGATTCAACAAATACCAAACTGAATTAATTTTTTCTGCTAAAACTTGTCCCTTTTCTCTCTTTTCAGCTTCTTTATTTCTGTTGCTGGTATGGCCATTCTTGATCATCCAGGCTCAAAAATGGAGAATTCATCTTTCACCATCCTTTTGCCCTCATTATCCATATCCAACCAGTTACTCAGTCCTGTTAACTCTAACTTGGTAACACTTCTACATAGTAGGAGGGAGCCTGTTTCCTGTCTCTCCTCTACACAATTTCACAAAATCACAGAGTTGGAAGTGAACTCAGTGGTCACCTAGTCCAGCCCCGTGACTGACAGAGAAATTCCTAACCCTAACAAGGAGATAAAAAAACATTATTAAGCTCCTGCTATATGTGAAGCACTTCACTGAAGGATGGAGATAAAAATAGAAACCCAAGACAATCCCTACTCTCAAAAAGCTCACATTCTAATTGGAAATCAGGAAATAAGTATTTATAAAAGGGTGTCATATGCCAGGCACTGTGCTAAATGCTTTAGAAACATTATCTCATTTTATCCTCATAATAACACTGGGAGGTAGCTGCTATTATTATCCCCATTTTATAGATGAAGAGACTGAGGCAGGCAGTGACTAAAGTAACTTCCCCAGGATCACACAACTACTAAGTGTTCTGAGGGTAAATTTGAACTCCGATCTTTCTGACTCTAGGACCTAGCTTGCCCTAGAGGAGACAGAGGGTTCATGCTCATGTTCAGTTCATGGCAGATGAAAAAACCAAAGAGTACTTAGGTAGGCAAAGTAGCAGGGTAAATGGCAAAGCCCTGAGGATTTTGAGGAATAATAGCAAGACAGAGGATCTCCTACCAAGAGGATAGCGTTAGAGTAGAATGGAGCCCTGAATGAACTACTCAAGAAGTAGGGATATGGGTGTCAGCATCCAGCTGACAGTGGGTGTCCTTTGCTTGGTAGGAACTAGGCAGTGAGACTAGGGGAAGGCAAAGGTCCATGGCCTCCCTTAGTGGCAACAAGTGGTGTTGGGTTTTTTTCCTTCCTGACACCCAGTGTTGGGCTAGAACAAAGGAGGGGAAAATCCCCAGTGCTGATAAAGATGGCTGATCCTGGTCATGGGGACATATCTCTCTTCAGCATTTTGGAGGCATATTTCTTCATTAAATTGCAATTACTATTCTAATAATAATACCATAGCCTCATTCATTTGGTTCCTCCTAATTTAGACTGTGCTCACTTAAATCCATACTCTTTTTCAGCAGAATGAAATGGGGCTAGTTATTTATAGCTATATATCCGTCTATATAGTTATATTTCATTTCATTCATCTCTGTTTCTATTTATATCCATT